GCCAACAGCCTCCTTGTTTCTTTAAACAGACATCGGAACCTATAACTGGATCCTGTCAAACAAACGACAGCAAAAAAATATAACAGCTGCTAAGAAGGCAAGTTGAGAGATAAAGTTTTTGAGGCTAAGGACCTTCTCAGAAGTAGACTAAAGTTCTTTCTTAAATCTTTAAGCAAGGTTATGGATCCCAGGGTGGCTTTTAGGCACCAAGTCAAATATGCAACTTTGTGTACCATTCCTGTCATAGTATTTCGTGTTCCAGAAAAAAGACAGAAAGGGCAAACTTCTTGTTGATTAGCATCTGCTGAAGCATTCTGCAAAGTTGCTTATACCTGGAATTATCACATTTGAAAAGCATGATTTCATTTGAAAAAAATTGTGGTCAAAAGCATGTGACATACCATTTGTCTTCCTAATCCTTTTTAAGTGTATAGTTCAGTGATTTTTAAGTATATTCACATTATTGTACAATAAATCTCCAGGTATCATTTTATTGTTTTAAAATAGTTTGGGTGCATATTAACCAGAACCGGGAATCATGAAGGAAGTATGAGTTAAGACATATTCCAAATGATGAGCGCCAATCTAAATTATATTACAAACTTAAGAAAATTAATGTTATTGCCTTAAAACCAAATGTATTTTGGATGCATAAAAATATGCACCAATTTTTTTGTTCACCAATTTTTTTGTGCACCAAACATATTTTGGATGCATAAAAATATGTGTAGGGTAGAAATATGCCCATTCATCTAGTTAACCCTACTCTTACATAAAATACGTATTTGGCAAAATGCATATTTCATATTATTGAGTAGAAATATGACTGGTTCGCCACTTAAGGCACGTCCTTTTAGATCTCACACCAAAGAACTCCCTATATTACATAGTCACAATGTGTCAAGAAAATAACCTGCAAAATAAGGCAAAATTAAATGTCTCCTGGTTTCATAACGAAGATAAAGCCAGACAAATATATGTTTATTGTTCAGGGATGATTATATCATTTTTAAGCACACATAGTTCCCTGCTTTTTATTATTGTCATGGTTCTTCTGTCTTGTAGGATCTGTTCTTTCCTCTCATAGTACTCATCACAGTTTATGCTAACATACATAATCGTGTATGTCTGTTTAATGTCTATCTCCTCTGTATTATCAACTGGTAACACAGAAGATGACACACAGTAGGTACTCAATAGCTATTTGGCTTTGATTACTTCATTTAACCAATATTTATCGAGTGCTTACAAGGTGTCGTGTGCTGTATAAAGCTTCTTTCCAAATAATGGACCTCAACAAAGGATAGTCAGTTACATGCTTGGCATAAAAAGAACTATGAATTAAGGTCTTACTACTTGTTACACCAGTTTAAAATATATACTTTGTTTAGTTCAGGTCTCCTAGGCCCTTGTATCTGACAGACACAGGTGATCATATTTTTAAGTAAGCAATTTCTACACATATGTCATCATAAACTACACAAAGTGTTCTATAACATAGTGAAAAATGAACTTCTCACTGCTTACATCTACTGTATGTCACAATGCCTTCCTCTACATCAAACTTTCCCAACCCATGGCCCAGGGATTTGAATGGAGCCCAACACAAATTCGTAAGCTTTCTTAAAGCACTATGAGATTTTTCTGCATTGTTTAAAGCTCATTAGCTATTGTTAGCATTAGTGTGTGTAATGCTATGCGTAGCCCAAGACAATTCTTCTTCCAATATGACCCAAGGAAGCCAAAAGATTAGATACCCCTGCTGTACATGCTTGTTTCCTCAAACCTCCAAAACAGTGTCAGATGATCTCATGCTTTTGGTCATTGTACCCAGGATATGAATTAAGAATTAGCAGAACCATGTTTTAATATTTTCACAGAAATTACTTTGTAAAAGAAACACAAGTTGAGCTTTTCATTGGCTAATTATGATTTCTCAGATACATGCTCTACAACCATAAAGGCAAGGCAAGGGGAAGGAACCAGTTGGAAGAGCTTTAAAGATTAACATGCTCCTTAAGAGTTTGTCTTCCAAATTTTGCTTGTATTTTCAAGGCTCAGCAGACAATGTCAGAAACCACAGAAATCAAGTTAATCTAGTTATAACAGTTGGTGACAAGGAGAATGCTCTGGCAGTTTCGAGTAATAAAGAGAACCAAATCAAGATAAGGAAACGTACTAAACAAGTTATTAGCTAAATTGGTTTACATTCAGTTTATTAATAGATTTTCCTCTAGGCACGTACAAAAGTTGCAAAATTTAAAATGTAATCACCTTACCAGGGGTGAATAAAGAATGCATCTCGTGCCAAGTGCTGGGTAGAATTTCCTTGGAGAGATTACAGAAGTGTGAGCAATTTGGCTATGTTCGATGCAAACAGGTAAGACAAATAACTGACTGACTGACTGACTGACTGGATGGATAGATGAATGAATGAATCAATAGTGAGATCTGCCTTCCTGAAAATGTTTCATTTTAAATCATCCATCTAATAAGCATTTTAGAGACATAGCCACAATTTGTAGATGATTTTTTAAAAGGAGTAAAAAATAATCACAAGAAAAAAAGAGAGAGAGACGGAAACAAATCTTTTTTATAACAGCCAATGTGCCGATGTAGTGAGTATCAAGACCATTTCCCTAAGACTGTGAGAGTAAACACACAGTTTTCATTAAATGTTCCTTTCCCATAACTGGTTCATCAGCATTTCCCATGACTCTGCAGTTGAGTTTCTTGGCTGGGAGAGTATCTGGCCATTAGAAGGAGGGATCCAGATATGCTGAGTCCCAGCCATGCTGAGAGACTTGGCACCTTTATATGCTACTTCCTAATACCAACCCCAGCATAAAATGTCGTCAGAAGCCTGCATAAACATTGGACTTAGATTCACATAAATTATTTCTGTCCTGAAATGCTTTATGCCAGAATTTCGTAAAAACAACACTTTGAGTAAATAGAATTGGTGTATAAATATAAGAATATTAATCCAACAAAATGATCATAGAAAATTATAATCAAAAGTACACACTTGTAAATCTTGCAATGATGTGAGAGGTTTATCTTGTGCTTCTTAGTTTTTATTGAATATTTCCATAGGGTTCCTTCAAGCTGATGTTGCCAAAGTGCTTTGAATTATCAGTTGCTTTGTGGAATTGGAAAGTCTTTGAGTTTCATTAAAATGCTTAGGAATTATTTTAATAATCACATGTGTGATTAGCACCTGTTTAGTGCTGGATCTACAAATTCATCTTAAGAGTAAACATAGGGACAATGAAATATAACGCTAGATGTGATTGCTCCAGTCAGCAATAACATTGTCTTATTTTATTAAAAATCACCAACAAAATGCCATGAACTAAAGATATGGTTTCTATTTACAGACATTTTCTACTCTACAATATTATAATATCTGCACACCGCAAGGCTGCATCTAGCAGTTTTTTGTTTTGCCTAGGGTAGAGACATAAATCGAGAGGTACGGAGCGCTTCTTTACACATGCACACATCTTATTATGTGCTTCCCCAACGTCCTATTTGGATTTTTGGTCTAATATAACAATGCTCACACTGTTGGCACTGAGTATTTATAAGTGGATGAAGATTTCCTGAAAATGATGACAATTTAGCTATTGGAAATAATAACATTATAATATTCTCAGTGATCCATTTTGGCTTTAAGTACTTACTAAAGAATATTTATTCCTAAAATATATACTTATAAAATTAAATGAAATTGCAACTTGCAATAAAAACACATTTTTCTCTGAACTCCAATTGACTTCATTTCTCATAGACACTTCTCCCGTGTTCATTCTGCAGTTGCTGCTTTCTACTCTCACTGTACTCTCTGCTCTTCTCTCTGATGTGTTGATATGCTTTCCCCAAAGTCATTCTCTTTATCCACATTCCCTACCCACTCTTCCCCTTCTTGTTATTCTCTCATTCCCTACTGATAGGGGAATAATAGGATCCCAAGGCTGTCCTTACAGTATAATTAAAGTATGAATTTCCAGGAGTTAGAAATTGCAGACCATTTTTATTATGCTTTTATAATAAAGCCAGGTAACATTGAGAGAATTAAAATGGCTTTTTCCTAGCAGATTACTGGGTAAAGATTTTTTCCCCTTGGTTCTATTGTCTTAAGAGACTAGGAGCTGGAAATGGGAATAGGTTCACCAATCCCTTTTCTGAAAACACCTCTATCTTTTACATGATATATATCCCCCTAGATCCTGGGAATATGTTGTAAACTTGTAACAGATGGTGATGAAGCCTCCCATTTTTATACAATACATTTTTTAAGATTCTGCATCTACTATATGTATCTTCCAGGAAAAATGACCTTGAATGAATGAAGTCATAGTTTGAAGGAAAAACACCCCACAGATAGAGTGGAGTAGAAATCATGATTCCATTGGGTTTTGTTTTGTTCCCTTCAGTAAGATGAAATAATTTCAGATGAAAAACAGAATGCTGAAATAGAGGAATCAAAGGTCATCTTTTAAGGTGTGTCTTTTAATTGTTCCTGAAAAACCCGTTAGCGTATTCTGTACTGAACAGAGACGTGTGGAAGGTGGGATATCACTGTCTGCGATTCGGAATGCTATTTGCTTAACTTGGGTAATGTTGGGGGCTTACCAAAAATTGTTCTGGCACAACGTCTACCAGCATGAATGTTAGGAGGGTTCTAACACTGTGAGTGCTGATATTTTATGAATGTTTTATCACTGGCTTGAAAACAAGAAGTTTGCACTTGAATCAACAGTATGTCAGACAGACAAAATATTAAAAAAAAAAAAGAACATTAGTGAGAATTACTAATGTCCCTATTGTAAAAACAAACTGAAGTTAATAAGAAACTTGATCCTCTTAACCGATTAACACAAGTCAAGTTTTAATTGCATGGCTTCTCATACAAATCGAGTGGCACTGCTAACTTGAGTATTGGTTGTGTAGAGGGTGCAGTAATGGGGGAAACTGCTGCACATTCAGTCACCCACCTCTTTTCTCAACAGCTTCAATGCATTGCTTTACAAACCACGGAACTGTGGAATTTTCACGTTCACACACTTTGTGCAGATGAGAGCCAAAAATTTGATCTGCAAAAGAAACAAAGATGAGCTTCATTAAAATCCAAGCTTGCGTTGTTCTTTAATTTGATTCTGTTTCCATATCCACTGCATACTGAAATCTTCATCTTGCATAGGAATTGATTTTTTTTTTTTTTGCTTTATTTCCAAAGTGTCTATGGCAGACATACGAAGACCACAACTCCCTCCTTTATGGAACAGGATCTTGGCCCCAGAGTGAGAAAACTGACGCTCAGCCATCGATTAGCAGGGATGACTGTGTAAGTTATAGTCTCTCTGGGCCTTAACTTTGTTGTCTATAAAGGAATGACAAAGAATTAAGAAAATTTCCGCAAAATAATTAATCTTAGTGTTTTGGTATACTGAGTGTTTTAGAAGAAGTTTACCAGTTAATGGTTATAAAAATTACAATGTTATCAGTATATTTAGGATATTCGTTCTGCAACTCAATAGTATTTGAGGAGGCAAGTTCTAGGAGACTTGCTTTGAAGTGAATTACTTAGCATTTCACCTGCCTTGAATGCCCTTCCTCTTCTCTAATCTAACTATCACCTTTCCTTTAGGGTTCAGCTCAGATCACACTTTCTCCACTAACCCCTTCCTATCTCAGTTTTGTGTCATCTGTGACATAGGTTCTTTGGAATACCAGATCCTCAGGGTGTTAATAGATGATTCAGGGAAAAGGGCCTGCGAACAAAATGGTTTAGCATCATTAGGTTCTGCAAAGTTAGACAGGTTTAACGTGTATTTATTTTTAGAGCCTGTGATATGCCCATGTGTGCTGTGAATCTCCATGAGGGGTGGAGGATGCATTATCTCCCAAACTTATTTGAGCAACATCCTTTGATTTCAGAGAGCATGTTTCCAGACTAATATTTACGAGAATACCCACTGTGAAATCCGAGCCTAGCCCTCTTGTTTGGAACATAATTGACGCTACCTTACATTGTGTATTTACATTTATAATAAATGGAATAGACTCTCTCAAAGCAGATTCTGAGTGTCTGAATCATCTATGTTTTCAACAGTGCTTAGCACAGACTCTGGCCTGCAGTATTTACAGATAGATGTTTGTCTTTTATAACTGTGGTAAAACACACATAACATAGAATTGATTATTTCCACCATTTTAAAATGTACCATTCAGTGGCATTAAGTACATTCACAATGTTGTGCAACCCTCACCACCATCAATTTCCAGGTTTTGCTATTGAGATAGTATCTGTTTATTACTGATAATGAAACAAATATTTAGTGGGTCCAAGGGCTTCCCATTTCACTCAGAATGAGATCAAAGTCCCCACTGTGACTTATAAGATATTACATTATCTGACCTCCACTAATAAATGGATTTTATTTGGGTCTTCTCTCCCCGTCTTTAAATTTGTAGTAGCCCCACATTGCTGTTTCTCGTGGCTGCCAAGCACTGTTCTGCTGCAGGGACTTTGCATTTTCTTCTTCATGGAACGCCATTGCCTTAGGTCTCAGATCAAATGGTATCTTCTTATTGTAGCCTTTCTTTCCTACCATCCTTTAAAAAAATGGCTCCACTCCATGCCATTCTCTATGCCACTTTCCCAGCCTTACTTTTCTTAGAACACATATCTCCACTTGACATATGAGACTGATACGTTTTCTGCTTAGTTGTTTCCCTTGCTTAGAATGCAAAAGCCAGGAGAGTAGGAGTCATATCTCAACCATTTATTATTGGATCCTGAGTACCTAGACAGTGTTTGGCACATACTAGAAGTTCAATAAACATTTGTAGAATGATGGACTGCAAGACGCCATCTTAACCACCAGTGGAGGTAGTCAATAAATTTTTTAAAGTAAAATTAGATAGAATAATAGATAATGCAGCATAAAATAATGTTCAGTGATATGTATTGTTATAAGGGGATACTCAAAATGGAGTATAGGGAGAATTCAATGAATCATAATTTTCATTTATTTCTTAGGAAAACATAATGGTTTGAATTGCTGACAACCCAGCATGGAGGGAACAATTAAAGCTAAAACACTATTAATAACATACTCCAGGCCGGGCATGGTGACTCACACCTGTAATCCCAGCACTTTGGGAGGCTGAGGTAGGTGGATCACAAGGTCAAGAGATTTAGACCATCTTGGCCAACATGGTGAAACCCTGTCTCTACTAACAATACACAAATTAGCTGGGCTTGGTGGCACATGCCTGTAGTCCCAGCTACTCAGGAGGCTGAGGTAGGAGAATTGCTTGAACCCTGGAGGGAGAGGTTGCAGTGAGCTGAGATCGCGCCACTGCACTCCAGCCTGGCAACAGAGTGAGAGTCTGTCTCAAAAAAAAAAAAAATAAAAAAAAGAAAGAAAATACTCCAATGTGGAAATGTGGAAATGTGCATTTTTATCCAAGTAATAGAAAGCAGCTCAAAACACATGGACATAGTATAGAGAAGTGGGAAATAATAATGGGCATTTGCTTTGAATACTTTGGTCAAGTAACAATGACTTGTTCAAAACACTGTGTAACCACTCTAAGAACGAATGACATAAAATATTAGGTAGCAAAAAATAACCCAGTAGATCAGATTAAATGATTTACATTGTCTGGAGATTACAGTCAGGAAGAAGAATTGCTATAAAGTAAAAAACCCATTAATTGGTTTTATTACTCAAACCAATTTCACAAATATTATCTTCTATCTTCACAGCAATGAGGTAGGCATATTGAGTTGTAAAAACAGTATCAAGAAGTTTGTAATATTATGGGGGCTAATAAAAGTATTCAAAGAATATACAAAAAAAGAAAATAGCAGGTGTCATAAAAGGTACTGAATGCTAAGAAAAATGTCCTTTAGTATAAGGTCTTTTTGTGTCATTTAGTGTAGATGTAGTATGCAGTGTGTGTATGTTTGTACAACAGAGAGTGGGAGACAGAGAGTGTTAGGAGAAATTGTTTTGTTTTTGTTTTTGACAGGTGGATATAAGAAGATACAGAAAAGAGCATTCCAGGTCTCTTTTATTCATTTAGTTATTTGCAAAAGAACATCTTGAATGACTACACTCTGTTTAGAGCTAGGAAAGGCACTGATAATATAGCAACGAAGACTCATTCCCTATTTTCTAAAACTTTGCCCGGTAGAAACAGTATGTAAGTAAACAGGTAAGAACATTTTATCATGAGAAAACTGTTGTAACTGGGGAAACGCAGAGGCAGTGTGGGAGAATGTGGTGCAGCACCAGACCGGCCTTGAGTGCTTCCCTTCTCTGAATAACTGAATCCTCAAAGATAAGGAAAGACAAGCAAAGAGGGAACAAAGAGCATTTTGGGAAATGAAAGGAAATAAACAAATGTTTGAATGATGGGAAGAATGATAGGAAGACTGGGGTGTGCTAAGGAAAACATTCACTCTTAGAGAAATCTTGATGTATCAAGTTATAAAAGAGATGGAGGTTATGTTATAAAGCATCTTAAATTTTGCCAGGTAGGTTAAATTATTTGAGAGTGTGCAGATACCATTGATTTTCTACATATAAGTAATTCCTCTCCCACCTTCTTTCTTGTTTTTAGAAGCCACTCATATGACAGAACCTGAAAATCATCTTTATTGATTTTTACCTGCCCTGCAGCTTTGGGTGATTAGATAACTCTGTCAATGAAATGTCTAGAAAAGTGACTCAGGACCATATAGGAAAAGATTTATTCCCCTGAAGAAAAGAAAGGGATATGTAAGAAGTCTTTTTCCTTTTTTTAAAAATCCATCTTTGAATATCATTTTGCAATGATGTGATACTTGGAGCTATTGCAGCAATCCTGTCACCACGAGACAATGAGTACTAAGAACAGCAGCTAATGTATTAAAAATAAGCAACAAAAACCTGAGACCCTGAAGACATGTCTGAGCTTTTAAACCAACACTAACATACCTTCTCTAGACTTATTTTTATATGAAATAACTCATTTTTAACTAGGTATTCCATTATCTGCAGCCAAAACATATGATATGACATTAGGAAGTGATTGTGGTTTTTGAGTAAAATGAGCATTAGAATCATACTCTACTTGAGAAGGTTTACTTGGTAGTACTTTGTAGAGAAAAGGGAGGGCGGGGGGTAATATAGTGGGCAAGATGAAGCACAAGGAGATTAGTTAAACGACCAATATGATTGCCTAGGAAAGATGTTATGAAGACCAGAATCAGGATAAGGGTGTGATAGGTGTAATCACTGTACACAATCCATCTTGTGTTCTCTGAATTAGATGTATACATTCACCTCCTTTGCCATGGAACCATCTGGTACAACCCACTAGAGTGTGCAGTGTTTATTTTTCCCCATTTCTTTGATATTGGGCTTGGCCAAATGTCTTCTTTGGAATGATGTAATGTGAGTGGAAATGTGTCAGTTCCAGACTGAGGCCTTAAGACGCATTGCAGATTTCTACTCACCCTCTTGCTTCTCTGCTATTGCCAAAGAAGAGCTTCCTTGGGTAGCTACTGCCCCTTCAGCCTGGGCTCCAGAATAAATACATATGGCATAGAACTGAGGCAAACCCTTAGTGAAGAGACAAGTCCAGTCAGACCTGCAGCTTAAAGCAGAGCAGTCCAGTCAAGCCTGCACCACAGACACATGAAAAATAGATGCTCCTTTTCATATGCCACTGAGATTTTATGTTTGTTTGTCACGTAGCAAGAGCTTACTCATATAGGTGGTGATGAGTCCAGGTTTTTGGTGAAATATGATCTAAGCTATGCTGTGAGAATGAAAACAAAGAGGATTGGCAGGACATGGAAACTAAAATTGAAGAGTGAACAAAATAGAAAAAAAGTTCTAAATTTGCTAAGAATGTGGAGTTATGCCTTCAGTTTAATTTCAATCCTCAGGAGGAGTCTCAAAAAAAATTACTTTCACCTTAAAATTTAAACTATTTATGCCTTACCAAATTTTATGGCACCACTTCTGCACTCTCTCCAGATGAATCCAATTCTATCCAATTCCATTCGGTGACTCTTTAGTGAACACCTACCATG